CCCCATCCATGTTATGTGTATCAGGGGGGGGGGGGTTTCTGTGTCAGATATTTTTGTGTCTTTGGAGGCTCCGTGGTGATTGATTGGATTTCTCTGATCGCAGGATGAAGGAGCTCGGGATTGATAAGCACAGCAGAGCGGTGTGTTTCGGACAGTTGCTGGGCATGTGTGACCACGTCTCGCTCACGCTGGGTATGTTTCCTGGAGGGACACTCCAGATATGATGAAGAATGACTTCCAGATACTTAGAAGGAGCCTTGTTCTCTGTGGGGAAGCAGTGGTCTCTCTGCAGAGGTCAGAGACGCCCCCTCCTGCTGGGCTAAAGCTCTACAATCAGCATGGAGCATGAGCTTTGCTGATTGGAGAGTTATTGGCAAAGAGTGTGTTGGACCTCTTCAGAGAGACTACTAGTGGAGGGAGCCCCTCATAATGGGCACAGCAGGTGTACAGACCCGGGAACTCATTGTAGGGATCTCACCAATAGAGTCTCTGAGAAGTAGGAGTAACTTCCAGCATCTGCCAAGAACTAAAAACCACATCATTGGGTGGACTGACCCTATACAAGGACTATACGGCATCATCCACCAAGTATAGACCTATTCCCTTCTTCTCTCGTTACACCCACATTTCATTTTGATGTAATATTACACTCAATGTCCTCCATCTCTCCTCCTCCTCCTCCTCCATCCCTCCTCCGCCATCCCTCTTCCTCCTCCTCCTCCATCCCTCCTCCTCCTTCCCTCCTCCTCCATCTCTCCTCCACCTCCATCCCTCCTCCTCCATCTCTCCTCCTACTCCTCCATCTCTCCTCCTCCTCCTCCATCCCTCCTCTTCCTCCATCTCTCCTCCTCCTCCATCCCTCCTCCTCCATCTCTCCTCCTACTCCTCCATCTCTCCTCCTCCTCCTCCATCCCTCCTCTTCCTCCATCTCTCCTCCTCCTCCATCCCTCCTCCTCCATCTCTCCTCCTCCATCTCTCCTCCTCCATCTCTCTTCCTCCATCTCCTCCATCCCTCCTCCTCCTCCATCTCTCTTCATCCATCTCCTCCATCCCTCTTCCTCCTCCATCCCTCCTCCTCCTCCATCTCTCCTCCTCCAGGTCAGGCGGGCTACTTAGTGTATAAGTCCATTCCGTACGGATCAGTGGATTCTGTCCTGCCCTACTTGGTCCGGAGGGCCCAGGAGAACCAGAGCGTCCTGCAAGGGATCCGGAAGGAGAGAGACCTCCTACATGAAGAGTGGAGAAGACGTCTGCTGGGCCGGAGCTAGGACCCTCCAACAGGGAACCCGAAACCCAACCAGACAGAGGAACTTTGTACCCACATGAGTATCTCTGAGGGTTCCCCTGAGAGGACCTCTCATCGTCCTACAGAAAGTCCAGAGTTCAGTTTACTAATGTGGTTCTGAGCTACATGCAGGGCTGTATTCTGATGCTATGGTGGCGCCATTTTGTGTCATGTGACTATTTCAGTAAAAACTTCTGCTAGAGTTGGGCTATTGGGGGCCGGATGGGGTCTTCTGGTGTACGGAGGAGCACCAGACTAAGAGAGAGAAGAGCTGGTGCCATATTTCATGAGCTGTGAAGGGTCTTGTGAAGGTTCTCCTTCATCCGGGTCATGGTAGACCTTGTAGTCGGTCACATTCAGCTGGACTTCTGTAATGCTGAAGATGTTTTGTAGGTTCTCCGAGACAATTCTTCAGTTGGGATGAGTGCCAGGAACATGCTCCAGGATTTATATCCACACAGGTAGCAGAGACATCGTCATCCAATCACCATGGAATGTGTAGAACAACAGGATGGGATGTGTAAACGTTGTGGAACCCCCCCACCCCCCCCCTTCTGGTTCCATAGATCCGTCCCTGGTGTCAGTCTGCACAGGTGTCAATCCTTTGATCACCATGGCTGTAGGTATAAGCTCTCACCTTCCCGGGGCAGAGATGGTAGGACAGCATTGTACATGGAAGAGAGATGACGGTGACGGCCCCCACCCTTCTTCCGGGAGGGTTCTTCTAGTTTGATGTGAATAGCCTTCTTCACATCTCATTGTGAACCAGTTGTCACCTCTCTCCAAAATGTGCTCCTCACTGAAAGCCGATAAACTACGAAACTTCCTCAATATTATAGAACAGGTCCAGCTGAATGTGACTATGGCTAGCTACACCATGACTAGGACCAATGAGAACCTTCATAGACGTATGACGAGGGAACAGTTTATCAGCTGTCTGCAGTCACTGACCATCCACTGTACTATGTCTGCAGACTCTGACCATCTCCTGTAGTATGTCTGCAGTCTCTGACCATCTCCTGTAGTATATCTGCAGTCTCTGACCATCTCCTGTATCATGTCTGCAGTCTCTGACCGTCTCCTGTAGTATGTTTGCAGTCTCTGACCATCTCCTGTATCATGTCTGCAGTCCCTGACCATCAACTGTACTATGTCTGTAGTCTCTGACCATCCACTGTACTATGTCTGTAGTCTCTGACCATCCACTGTACTATGTCTGCAGTCTCTGACCATCTCCTGTATCATGTCTGCAGTCTCTGACCATCTCCTGTACTATGTCTGCAGTCTCTGACCATCTCCTGTACTATGTCTGCAGTCTCTGACCATCTGCTGCAGTATGGCTGCAGTCTCTGACCATCCACTGTACGATGTCTACAGTCTCTGACCGTCTCCTGTAGTATGTCTGCACTCTCTGACAGCTGTCTGTAGCATTACAATCACTGAATGTGTGGCCTTTTGGTGATGTCAGGGGCCAAATTTGAGGCCCCCTGTATTAAGTGAGTTGGCCCCCACTGGGCTGTGTATTCTGTAATGTCTCACAGGATTTGTTGACGCTTTTTACATTTATACAATAAAAGTGACATTTCTATAATATTGTGTTCCTGATCTGTGATGGCAATACATTCGGGTGTACAGCAGTGTGCAAAGGGTTAACCCCGAATTCTCAGCGTGTGGTCCCCCTCCCCCCCTCCATCACCTCATCATGTCTCCTACATATGGAAGAGATTTGGATTCAAGCTCACACTCCTCTTTATTTCTATTATATTTTATTTAATGTTTTCTTTTTTTTATTAATACATTTTTTTAAAAAGGTGATTGTGTCCTTGTTACAACATTGTGAGGGGGAATTTATCAAAACTGGAGCAGAGAAAATCTGGAGCAGTCGCCCATGGCAACCAATCAGCATCCACCTTTCATTTTAAAACCTTGACTGAAACAAACTGCAGAGAGAAGCTGATTGGTTGCCATAGGCTCCAGATTTTCTCTGCTGCAGTTCTGATAAATTCCCCCCAATTAAGTTCTGTCTGTGATTTCTTTAAAATTTTGTTTAGTTGAGTATTGTTCCTCGTACTTCAATTACACTCACAGTAAGGCCTCATTCTCACTATGAACGGCCGTATTGGGCAGCTCCCGGGAAGGACAGGTACTGTGTGTGATTAGTACGCAGCCCCTGTCCTTCTCTACGGGAGTACGCGGCCCTACTCTCACCTCAAGTGCATGTCCGTGCGGGTGTCCGTACTCGTACGCTGACAGGATGGATCCTGTCTGCGTCCGAGCCGGGACACCCGTACGGCCCTGCACTTGAGGTGAGCGTAGGGCGGCGTACGGGCGCATACTCCCATAGAGAAGGACGGGGGCAGCGTACTAATCACACACAGCACCTGACAGGGGCGTCCCGAGGCTGGGTGACACCCGGAGCGGTAACCGAGTGTCACCCCGCCGAGACGTCACTGCGCATGCGCGTGACGTCACCACGTGCGTGCGTGATGACTTCATCGCGCACGCGCAGCAGTATTTTGATACCTGGCGGGGGCCATCTTAGTGATGGACGTCGGCAGAGAGAGGAGGGGACAGGCAACCGGCGGGATAAGGTATGCCGCCGTGTCCCCTCCTCTCTCCTGATACTGTCGGGCGTTCGGTCTTTTCAGAGGGGGGGTGACACCAAAATGACTGAGTAATTTTGGTGTCACCCCTCCAATGGTGTCACCCGGGTGTGGGCCGCATCCCCCTTGTGACGCCACTGTGCCACCTGTCCTTCCCGAGAGATGCCCGATACGGTCGTGCACGCAGCACGGAGCTGTACGCGCCGGCCGTTCCTAGTGTGAATGAGGCCTTACATTTTAGGACAAGCTTTGGGGGGGTCAGTGTTCCCCTTTTATTCTTGGTCCAGAATTGCAAATAAGAAAATCTATCACGGACAGAACTCAAATAAATAAAAAAAGTATGACAGACGATACTCATCTGAATTAAAAAAATAAAATGAATGAACAATAGGACATGGAATAATTAAAAGATATAATGGCGAGTACTGTATGAAAAACGGATAGTGCGCAGTTAAATAAAAAACATCGCGGACAATATTCAAATAAATTGAAAAATATCACGGGCAGTACGCAATTAAATAAAAGAAAATCACAGACAATGATCAGACAAAATGTAAAAAAAAAATCACAGACAATATTTAAACAAAAGAAAATTAACAATATTTCAATTAAAAAAATTATGGACAGTACTAATAATAATAAAAAAAATTAAAAAATTAAAAATCAAGAACAATGTTCAAATGGATAAATAAAAAAAACAAGACCATGGACAGTACTGAACTCTTTAAAAAAATAAAAAGGACAGTACTCAACAAAATAAAACAAGAAACAAAAAAAGAGGGTAGTGATATAAATAAATAAAAAAAATCAAGAATATTGAAATTTAAAACAAAAAACAAACAAACAGACAGTTCTCAACTATAAAAAAAAAAAAAAGTATATTTTTATTTCACAGCACAGACATGAAAGCCGTCCATGTGACTCTTGTTTCTGGTTAATAGATGAGAATGAACTTTGTGTTCTCGGTTGAACTTTGACCTGCGGCGGCTGTTTGCTGTCTGGCTGGGAGCCCGGACTGGATCCTGATATAGAACCTGGGAGTGCTGACCTTATAGAGAGGACACAGGAAACCCCGGAACAGGATCCCACTATAGAGGAAGAGGAGGGTCACATGAGAGGGGGAATCATGGAGGAGAGACCGAGGGGGGAAGTTTAGAGGGATACACACCTCCATCCAGAGAGCCGCCGCCATGGACAGCAGGTGAGGAGATCACTGGGGGGGATTTGTAGCCGAGCTCACCATCCTAATGATGGAACATTCATTGAACTTGTAGCAAAGCTCATCTCTGGCATTGCTGCAACGTTTTTATTACACCATAACATGTGTGCACCCAGATCCACACGCATGTGCAGGTTCAGGTGCGAGCGCGCGTAGTTGCGTGCAGTCCCCTCATAGGGAACACCGAGCTGCCCCCCTCCCGGAATCGGGGTCATCTTTCGGATCTGGACGTCCCTCTGAATGAACCTCAAGTCACACTTGTTACATTGTACGTTCATTGTGATGTTCTCTGTCCTCTCCGTGTGTTCCAGGACTCCGTCCCGCGACTTGTACGTGTCCGCCATGCTGCTGAGCGCGGCCGGGGACGCTCTGGGCTACAGGAACCAGCTGTGGGAGTACTGCAAATCCGGAGCCCAAATCCACAGCCAGCTGAAGGATCTGGGGGGGCTCCCGAACATAACGGCGTCTCTGCCGGACTGGCCGGTCAGCGACGACACCGTGCTCCACCTGGCGACCGCCGAGAGCCTGGCCACAGGTACGGGGATTATTATTATACAGGATTCATATGGCGCCAGCAGTGTGCGCAGCGCTGTACAACATAAGGAGGACATTACAATCACACTACAAGACCACATGGTAAGTAGTGATGGGCTCGGGCGTGTTCGCAAGCACCTCGTGCCGAGCCCGCCAGGAGGCCGTCAGCGCGCCGGGCCAATCACAGGCACCGAGACATTTCCCGATCTCTGCAGCTGCGGACCGGGCTTCGTTCACATCCATCAGCAGTGCGTTCCGGTCCGATTCCGGAACGCACTGCTGCAATGCTTGCAGCATTTTGATCGCACCCCACGTAACGCACTGCAGGCACGATGTGCCTGCAGGTTGCCGTGCGGTCGATCGCATTGCGGCTGCAGGGCGTGGCTAGGGTGCCATTCACTTCAATGGCCTGCCACTCCCTCTCCTGCCCAGCAAAAAAAGGGAGCCGGCCGCAATGCGGGCAGTGCGTTCCGGACCGGAACGCACTGCTGACGGTGTGAACGAAGCCCGAGGGCTTACAATCCAAGAGGGAGGTTACTGCCTTCCATAACACTTCTGTATCTGTATAAAGGTAACAATGTATCTCTTATAATGGGAGGAGTTAGAACCCGGTGTATCGACGTCGGCGTCTCCTCTGGTGACAACAAGTAATGGGATATCCAAAATGTTACAGTTGTCACCGCAACAGGAACTGAAGTGAAATCTTCCAATGGGGACACCTGTCCGGCTTTCTAAACAGAGGACTTCCTCCCTCGTTTCTCTCACTCCTGGACAGGAAGTAAAGGGAATGCGCTGGAACTCACGTCCATCGTCCAGGTGTGCCGGGCTGCCATTCACCACACCAATGCATGCAGTCCACATGAGCACAGAGCAGGTGTTGTGTATGGGCTCTTTTTTGCATCGCGTGTGAATCTCGGGTGAAAGTTGTGTGGATCTTGAGGTGAGGTTGTGTGAATCCTAAGTAAAACATTGATAAGTAGACTCCTGGCCAAGACGTCTGTAGGTAGAAGTGGAAGGGATACAACAGGTGACGGTATTTTGGTTACAGAAGTTGAATGCGTAGAAGCCGCAGCTGGGGGAGAATGTTGGAGATCTCCTGAGCTGGGTTAGAAATTTTGGAAAACAAAATAATGATGAGAATCCAGGATGGCCGGCGAGTGTCTAATGACAGGGGGAAGGGAGTTCCAGAGGAAGGGAGCAGCACAGGAGAAGTCCTCAGGACCTCAGTCTCGGTTGCCCCTTTCAGTCTCTTCTCCCCAATGTGCTCTTTGCAGAGAAGCTGGATGAAGACTTGTACCGCGAGCTCGCTGAGAGATACGTGTCCGCCATGTCTGATATGGAGGGGAGGAAGCCCGGGCCCACGAGCATTCTGGGTAAGTTGGTGTCACCGCCTTACAAAGCTGGCCATCTCTATGTATGAGAAACTCCTGAACCTTGAAGCATTACCCACCCTACACTGTGAAAGCTCCTCATAATGGGCACAGCGGGTGTACAGACCCGGGAACTCAGCACAGGAATGGTGGGAGCCGCTCATAATGGGCACAGCGGGTGTAGAGACCCAGGAACTCAGCACAGGATGGGGGGAGCCGCTCATAATGGGCACAGCGGGTGTAGAGACCCAGGAACTCAGCACAGGATGGGGGGAGCCGCTCATAATGGGCACAGCGGGTGTAGAGACCCAGGAACTCAGCACAGGATGGGGGGAGCCGCTCATAATGGGCACAGCGGGTGTAGAGACCCAGGAACTCAGCACAGGATGGGGGGAGCCGCTCATAATGGGCACAGCGGGTGTAGAGACCCAGGAACTCAGCACAGGATGGGGGGAGCCGCTCATAATGGGCACAGCGGGTGTAGAGACCCAGGAACTCAGCACAGGATGGGGGGAGCCGCTCATAATGGGCACAGCGGGTGTAGAGACCCAGGAACTCAGCACAGGATGGGGGGAGCCGCTCATAATGGGCACAGCGGGTGTAGAGACCCAGGAACTCAGCACAGGATGGGGGGAGCCGCTCATAATGGGCACAGCGGGTGTAGAGACCCAGGAACTCAGCACAGGGATGGTGGGAGCTCCTCATAATGGGCACAGCGTGTGTACAGACCCAGGAACTCAGCACAGGGATGGTGGGGGCCCCTCATAATGGGCACAGCATGTGTACAGACCCGGGAACTCAGTGCAGGGATGGTGGGAGCCATTCATATTGGGCACAGCGGGTGTACAGACCCAGGAACTCAGCACAGGATGGGGGGAGCCGCTCATAATGGGCACAGCAGGTGTACAGACCCTGGAACTCAGCACAGGGATGGGGGGAGCCGCTCATATTGGGCACAGCAGGGCCACAGGGACCTCATCTATGGAGTCTCGGAGACATAAGACTCAGTCATGTGGGTGGACTGATCCTTTAACGCTTACATCCCTTCTTCAGGAACCTCTCAGCTGCGCCCGGGGGAGCCTGGAGGGTATCGCATCCCATTTAACCCCTCAGCAACCGGCTGTGGAGCAGCGATGAGAGCCATGTGTATAGGACTCAGGTTAGTATTGATTTTGTGTCGCATGATGATGTTCATGGCAACAAATTGTAATAATTGATCACCAATTGCGGTTCCTGATTGATGTGCGTGTCAGAGCGCCGGATCTCCGATGTGTTACTGTATAATAGGAGTTTTTATTTGGGGTACATTCTCTCTTCAGGTTTCCCCGACCATCAGAACTGCCTCTCCTGGTCGCCGTCAGCGTGGAGAGCGGGAAAATGACTCACAACCACCCCACAGGTCAGATATCAGGACTGCTGTTGTGTCTCCAGTTATCACTTCCCATTATATATATAATGAGGTGTATTAAAGTTCAATGATGTATCTATAGGGTGGAGTCAAATGGCTCAGCCTGGTGGACTTCATACATTTCGATGTGGCCTATAAGAGGGAAGATTTTGGGTCATTGAGCTCAAAGAACTCTGTCCAGGATACCAGTATTTCCCAGTGGCCTCCCAGTTCACCTGCCCAGTCCACAGATCCTTAACTCTCTTCATATATTGCTCCCTATCACTCTCTATTCTCGTTACCCCAACCTGCCCGTCTGTCTCCCACCCTGACTGCCTTTAGGCGTTCCCTTAAGACTCGTCTCTTCAGAGAAGCCTATACCACCTCAACCTAACCACTCAACCATCACATTCTCAAACAATTCATCCCCACACAGCCACCTCCTCATGTATCACTTCCCCCTCCCTTTTACATTGTAAGCCCTCAGGGGCGGGGCCCTCCTCAGCATCTTGTCTTGAATTGTATTGTGATTGTAATGCCTTCCTTATATTGTAAAGCGCTGCGCAAACTGTTGGCGCTATATAAATTTTGTATAATAATAATAATAATCTTGCAGGGTACCTCGGATCTCTGGCATCGGCCCTCTTCACAGCGCTGGCAGTACAGAGGGTCCCCCTGGAATTATGGGGGTTGCGGTTGCTGGAGGCTCTTCCTGTGGCTCTGGAGTACATCCGCTCTACTGGGAGCGACGTGGAACGCCATGTGGAAGTGTGGGATTATTTCCGGGAAAGCTGGGAGAGGTGAGGGAGTCTGGATGATGCTGGTGGGGGGTGAGGAGGTAGTGAGGTGGACCTTATCTCCATGGAGTTTGGTGTCAGAACTTGGTGATTTGGGTTCAGCTTAGAACAGAGGCTTGGGATGCAGTAAATATCCCATGTGGGAGTTAGTTAGGCTTTGGGGATCGGTTCGGGCTATGGGGTAAGGCTAAGTTTAGGGAGTTTGGTGGTTTTGGGTGAAGTCTTGAAGACCAAAATGTAACTGGAGGACGTTTGTTTTGCTGAAGTATTGTGTGTGAATAAGAATTGCTAGTTCCTTCAAAAAATGGTATTAACCCTTATCTATGCTGCATCCCTATGCTGCTGATCTCCTCCAGCGTCTTTCTGCCACTTCCTATCTACATGACTGTCTCCAGTGTTGGCTGCACATCCTTGTTCCGGATCAGCTTCCTGATAGTGACCATGGCGGACCATGTCTGAGCCAATGTGTTAGCAGGGCCACCTTCATCAGGGTAGCATTGGGGGTGAATGATCCTATACATGGTATAGAGTATGTGACTATGAGAGAATGAGTATGTGAGAAGGTGTGGCTGGGGTGGGGACATTAGTATGGGTGTGACTGGGGTGGGGA